ATATATTTAATTGAAATTGCTGTTCCGAACAACCAATGATACATAAAGGAAAATCTTGAAAATGATCAGGGGTGCCCAAACTTTTTCATACCACTGTAGCATAAAAGTGCACATAAATCAAACTTTCTCAGCACACACTGAATGCACACACTGAATGCACACACTGAATGCGATTGCACTTGCACCCATTTATTAAATTAAAGAATTTGCCGACTACGGTAGTTTGTAAGAGAAGGTTGGGGAAGTGGAGAAGAGGAATTGTTAGCTGCTCAGCACCTTGTCACCTTATCCCCCTCCATCCTCCTGCTTCAGGTGACAATGGCCTTAATCAGTTTATTGGAGACCATGCTTATCACATATCTGAGCTACAAGGTAAGACACACAGTCCACACTTTCTGGCTTTTAATCCTAACTGATGCCTATGCAGCTGTCTGATCAACGTCCAGCACTTTTCCTGTTTCCTGCCTGCAGCTGTCTGTGCGCAGACTAAGAGCCAGAACTGAGGCTTCTGTGATCAAAGAGACTCTTGCCCTCATTTCAGACCTAATCATCATCTGCAGAATCAATTTTTTTTAAACAGGCAAACTGTGCTGGAAATTAACTTTATGATCTAATATTTATTACTGCCAATCCGTGACTGTCATTTTATATGTAATTTTAGTATTTAAGGTTTTGCAATATATTTGAACTATATATGTATATATGTATGTATATGTATATATGTATATATATATGTCTATATCTATATATGTACATATATACATATGTGTGTTTATGTGTATGTATATATACATATGTGTATATATGTATGTATCTATATACATACACTATATAAGAATGTTAGAGATGGAGCTACCAGGTAGGAGACAAAGAGGAGATACACTATATTACCAAAAGTATTGGCTCACCTGCCTTGACTCATACTATGAACTGAAGTGCCATCCCATTCCTAACCCAGAGTTCAATATGATGTCGGTCCACCTTTTGCAGCTATTACAGCTTCAACTCTTCTGGGAAGACTGTCCACAAGGTTGAGGAGAGTGTTTATAGGAATTTTTGACCATTCTTCCAAAAGCGCATTGGTGAGGTCACACACTGATGTTGGTCGAGAAGGCCTGGCTCTCAGTCTCCGCTCTAATTCATCCCAAAGGTGTTCTATCGGGTTCAGGTCAGGACTCTGTGCAGGCCAGTCAAGTTCATCCACACCAGACTCTGTCATCCATGTCTTTATGGACCTTGCTTTGTGCACTGGTGCACAGTCATGTTGGAAGAGGAAGGGGCCCGCTCCAAACTGTTCCCACAAGGTTGGGAGCATGGAATTGTCCAAAATGTTTTGGTATCCTGAAGCATTCAAAGTTCCTTTCACTGGAACTAAGGGGCCAAGCCCAGCTCCTGAAAAACAACCCCACACCATAATTCCTCCTCCACCAAATTTCACAGTCGGCACAATGCAGTCTGAAATGTACCGTTCTCCTGGCAACCTCCAAACCCAGACTCGTCCATCAGATTGCCAGATGGAAAAGCGTGATTCATCACTCCAGAGAACGCGTCTCCACTGCTCTAGAGGCCAGTGGCGGCGTGCTTTACACCATTGCATCCGACGCTTTGCATTGCACTTGGTGATGTGTGGCTTGGCTGCAGCTGCTCGGCCATGGAAACCCATTCCATGAAGCTCTCTGCGTACTGTACTTGGGCTAATCTGAAGGTCACATGAAGTTTGTAGCTCTGTAGCAATTGACTGTGCAGAAAGTCGGCGACTTGCTTGATTTTATACACCTGTGGCCAGGCCAAGGGATTAGGACACCTGATTCTGATCATTTGAATGGGTGAGCGAATACTTTTGGTAATATAGTGTATATGTCACTAGCTTAGCATTGAGCTATGCTAATAGCATTCAAAACTTCAAAATAACCCAAACTTTGAATGTCCGATAACTATCCTGGTGGTAAGTGCGATGTGCTCCCTCCACTGGTGTATGCACAACAAGGTATTAAAAAAAGGGGCCTAACTAATAGGTGGACTGTGGTCCAGTTGCAGACCCAGACCAGTACAAGAACCTGCAAGTGATTAAATATTGAGGTTTGATACATTTTTAAGAGCGTTTCAATTTTAATTTCTCCAGTTATTAACAGCAGAAATGCAGAGTCACTCTTCTTATGTGATCAATCAAATACTTGGCTGTCGGCGAGTAAGAACCAGGGTGCAGAGAAGAGTAGAAGATAGTAGATCATCGGTCACAAAGAGTGGTCTGCTACAGAGAACTGCATTTTTATTATTTATTTTACATGCAAAAGTCATCTTTGTTTGTTTATTGGAATCTGTATAAATTTAATTTAATGATTTGAATACTGAAGCAGCTCATCTGTATTGTATTGACATCCTGTTTATCCCTGTTTTATCAAGGCGATAACAGAGTTTAATTTACTAAATGGCGTCTTTCTTCTCCTGCTTTTTCTTCCTGTAGTTTACCTCCTGACAGTAAACATATGTCTTTATACTCTGAAATGAACCCGAGGATAAGGTGTCTGCCATAATGTTAATACACAGTCTGGATGTCCATTTACTGCACCTTCCACGTACATTGGTTCCAAATTAATAGAGTTGCTATTAAGGTTGATATAACTGGACAAAATGATGAGAGGTGTTTGACTATCATATTGTGATTCAATTCATTTTTCCTGACAATTTCCAATTTCTAGGTGAACATTTGGGAGCAGATCTTTCAGATATCCTTCATATTGGAGATGATCAATTCTGTGCCGTTCATAATTACAGTCATTGTTTTTTTGTTTCTTTTTAGAAATGTTACTAGTCTAAGTTGTTTTTTAATCATGCTAACTGGTTTTAAATTTCAACATTTTTCTTCCGTCTCTCAAGATTTTCTGGGCTCCATGGAGAAACATATTTGTCCATGTGTTTCTAAACTGCTGGTTAGCCAAAGGTGCACTGGAGAATATGATTGTGAGTATTTTTGATATTTTAATTAATGGTTAATTTAAAGTTTTAACCACCGTGCGGAGAATTCAAATCTGGGCCATCGGTTTCTCAGACAATAACATGCAATTGCCCTTGCTGCCGTTAAATACAGAGCGGGATGTGGACAGAGAGAACCCAGAGAGATCTTCTCCGACTACATAATGAATTCCGAAGACGGAGAAGACAAAACCCAAGGCTTTAGAGTTTGTTTTTAAATGATTTTTATTTTTTATGATGTGAGCTTTGTTATTACGTGGTGTCCAGACTTTATCACTTTAGAACCCTTTATCTGTCTCTTCATATGAATAAAACATATTTGGTATCAATATTCCGCAATAGCACGTCAGGTCAGGGTCTTAGATCAACCCTGACTTGTAATCCTGTATCAGAATTAGCGGGTCATTTATAAAAGTTTCGGAGAGGCAGAGGAAGAAATCACAGTATTCACGGATACACAGAAACGTAAGCACAAGAACAAATATAGTCTACTTTGTGTGTGTGGTTCAGGTGGTGTGTTGTAGACCTTGAAATCCTGTGTATTTTTGATGAGGATGTGTGTGATGAACTTAGGGTGGCGCTCTGGAGCACAAGACAAATCAATACCAAATATCAGTTAGTCTGAAGAGTCGGTGTTTCCGTTTTCTGATGTCACAGATGTAACATTTCAATCCTGCCTTTGTGTCTCTCTCCTTTCACCTGTCAAGAATGACTTCCACCATGCCATCCAGAGGACCCACTCTGCCATGTTCAACCAGGTGTTCATCCTCATCTGTACCCTGATGTGTCTGGTTTTCACTGGGTGAGTTAAATCAAGTATCTCATGGGAGCATGCCATATATTCCTAAAACCAGACAAACATTTTTGGCCCAGAGGAGCAGCCATAATTTAGAGTTGGGTTTGAAAAAGTTCTGCATCAATTAAAATTCAAATCCAGATTGATCACATCGTTTTCTGTGGTTAATGAAGTTGTTTTCAAGAGTGTTTTGCACACAGTTTCTTAAAAAGTAATACTAACAATCACAAAACAACATTTGGTTTGGAATAACTGGAGGTAAATAAGATCCTTTATCCACCAAAGCAGTTAAATTTTCCATTTACCGCTAACTATGCTAGTCCACGCCAGTGCTTTTATGTTCCCGTTCAGAGCTGCAGCAGATTTAGGACTGCCCACAATGCTCTTATTGGTTGAGAGGCACGAATTTACAAATTCAGACCAAAAGTTGCAATAAATGTCAGTGTTTATTAATGAATGTGTTAATGTGGTAATTGCTCAGTTCCATCAAGTAGTATATTATACTCTTTTATTTATTCAGTAGTGCTGTATGTTATGCTCAATTATTATCAGAAATATATATTGCTCAGTGAGTTGCAAGTAGAATCTTTTTTAATTCATTAACATGCACAAGGGAAGTGAGTGACTATCGAGAGGACATCTTGAAAAACATATAAATAAATGCTAGACTTTTTGGATTGGTTTTCATTCAGTGGGCTGCACTTGTTTTCTTTACTGCTCTATTGATTTTTGCAGCAGTGATCCTTTATTATTAACCACTGCCTTCACCTCTTGAAGTGTTTGCATATTGAGAGCCTTGGCCAGCACCAGGCACAGTGTCTGGTCCGACACCGCCAGACTGTCTGCCCGTCCTGCCTCGATGCAATTCGTTAAACCCTCGTTAATGAACCAAATAGATTAGAATGATCAGTGAGTAGGAAAAACCAACAGTTAATTAAAGAGGACATGGTAAAGTTGCATTGAATTTGTTGCTGCTTGATTTTCATTAAATTACATTCAATGCAGATTAAATTGAGCTAAATCATAACTGAAATTTTGAGGGTTTTTTTTCCTGCAGAGCCTGTGGGATCCAGCACCTGGAGAGAGCAGGAAAACACCTGTCCCTGTTCGACTCCTTCTATTTCTGCATCCTCACCTTCTCGACTGTGGGCTACGGGGACGTCACGCCACAGATCTGGCCGTCGAAGCTGCTGGTTGTCCTTCTCATCTCTGTTGCTCTGGTTGTTCTGCCGCTGCAGGTGATTCCCACAGCACGGAGTGATCTCTATGCACTGGTTTTACCTGTAAATGACCATAATCTGGTCATTAATTTAAATTTTCTCAAGGGTTTTCATCTCAGCCAGTCATGCGAACTGGATGTTAATACTCGTCACTTGACTCCCCTTTTTTTATTACTGATTTAATTCTTGGTTCTTCTGACATCAAATCAATGTTGTGTCAGTTTGAAGAACTAGCGTACCTGGTGGATGGAGAGCCAGAAATTGGGAGGGAACTACAGCCAACAACGAGCACAGACGGAGAAGCACGTGGTGTTGTGTGTCAGCTCGCTGAAGATCAATCTGCTGATGGATTTCCTCAATGAGTTCTACGCTCATCCTAGACTACAGGTACTGTTGTAGCTGCCTGTGGAGAGGACAAACGGCTACAGTGCATCAATTGATTAACATTCAAAATGTGCTGTATGCTAATGGGGGATCAGCAGGAGCCTGCGCAATGACATTAAGGCAAAATGTTCTTGTTATTGCCTTGTTTTAGCCAGTTGTACGTATTTTTGGAAATATCTGTGAGAAATAGTTAAACAAGATGAATAAATGAATAAACACAATACAAAAAATAGTAAGTTAAAATGTAAACTTATTAGTAAAAAATAGTGAGGAACCGTGGTTAATGCAGTTTTATGATTAACGCTCTTGTACCCGCTTGTAAATCCTCTTCTGTCTTTTTTGGCCTCAAGGACTATTACGTGGTTATTCTGTGTCCAGCAGAGATGGACATCCAGGTTCGCCGTATTCTCCAGATTCCTCTGTGGTCACAGAGGGTCATCTACCTTCAGGGATCTGCTCTCAAAGACCAGGACCTGATGAGGGCAAAGTGAGTCACTTTGCATACAGCTAGTCATAGCCATGTTTAGGATGAATATTCTGCTAACTTGTTTGAGTTGCACCTTGCATTAAAGAGTCAGTGTGTCTACAGAAAAATCTACAAACACTTATGTGTATGCCTGTCAGTTAGTTTTGAGAAAATTACTTAAAAAGAAACTAATAATGTTTGTAAAAGCTAATGCTATTAGCTTTAGCATTTTGTTTATAGCTAAAGCTATAACCATTAGCTTTATTGCCGGTAGCATTAGCTTGTACAAAATGTAATGTAAGGTGTAATGGCAGGATAGTGTCCGTAAACACTTGCTATAAATTAAATCCCCAATTCACCAGAGTCAAGCTAAACAAGACCATTAACCTTTTTATTGTCTTGAGGAACCAGAGCCTATCAACGTCTAGCTATCTTTATAGTGTCAATCTACTTGAGTAATGAGTGCAGTTTTCCGATCAATGCTTCCTCTGCAGTGGGTCACCAGCCCCTGACCCTGTCCCTCTGTATTTTCCTGCGTGTCTTTATCTTGACCCTCAGGATGGACGATGCTGAGGCCTGCTTTATTCTGAGCAGCAGAAATGGGGTGGATCGAACGGCAGCAGTAAGTGGCCGCGACTGGATATTTTCCCTATAATACAAATTTGCCCAAATAAGGACAATAATGGGATGTTGATCAATTTAAGTAATTTAATTAAATTTCCAGTGAGACAAAGTTGAAACTTGAATTTAAAAAATGTAGAAATGCTAATGCACTGCTGTTTTTGTCCTCCAGGATCACCAGACCATTTTGAGGGCCTGGGCTGCGAAGGACTTCGCCCCTAACTGTCCTCTCTATGTCCAAATTCTCAAACCAGAAAATAAATTTCACGTGAAGTTTGCAGGTGAGTGCTCGAAGCTCAAATGCTTTTCATAACTGTGACATTTTCACATTTGATTATAATATGTCGTTTTCCTTCAGATCACGTGGTATGTGAAGAAGAATTCAAATACGCCTTGTTGTCACTGAACTGCGTGTGTCCAGCCATGTCCACCTTAGTCACTCTCTTGGTCCACACCACCAGAGGACAGTGATTATTTCTGTACTGCCTTTTACATGTTACCTTTTATCGCCTTTCACGTCAAAACGTATTTAAAATGCATGAAACCGTCACAATTCAACGAAATAATAATGTGTCACTCTAAAGTCATTCATGTCAATAGTACTCTGCTGATATTCCAGGGAGGGCCAGCTCGCACCGGAGCAGTGGCAGTGGACGTACGGTCACTGCTCGGGGAACGAGGTTTACCACATCCGCCTGTGTGACAGCAAATTTTTCGGGGAGTACGACGGCAAGAGCTTTACGTACGCTTCCTTTCACGCCCATAAGAAGTAAGCAGTGACTTTCATTAGTTTGCTCTGGACCAACGATGGATTTGTCTTTGAGAAGATTTTTTTTTTCCCCTTCATTCACGTCACAGATACGGAGTGTGTCTAATTGGCGTGAAGTGGGAGGACAACAAGAGCATCCTCCTGAAACCTGGTCCTCGCCACATCATGGCTGCCACCGATACCTGCTACTACATCAACATCACCAAGGAGGAGAACTCCGCCTTCATCTTCAAACAGGAGGAGAAGCACTGCAAAGGTCTGCCCATCACTGGCCTCTATGACGCCCCCTCTAGGCTTCCTGTGCACAGCATCATCGCCAGCATGGGTGAGAATGAAATTTCTTTTTAATAGTAAAGTTGTAAAAAAACAGAAATGTGCAGCATACTACAGACAGAATACATTTCAATACATCTTATATATTCATTTATTTAAATCAGTGATTCCCAACCACTGTGCCGTGGCACACTAGTGTGCCGTCAGAGATCATTTGGTGTGCCGCGGGAGCAATGAAATCCTCTTCTACTAGGTGGCAGCAGATGGTTATTAAAACTAAGAAAAGATAATCAGAGCTGTTGAAGAAGATCTTTGTGTGTCTTTCTTCAATTCCTGCCAGTATATCAGCGTTGTCTTAAACTAAACAGGAGTACATTTTTTAGTAAACTTAAACTAGAATATTATTATATTTCATTACATATACGTTTTGTGAGATTTTTGTTTGGTAGTGTGCCGTGAGTTTTTTCCTGATGATATATATGTGCCATGGTTCAAAAAAGGTTGGGAAACACTGATTTAAATCGCCCTCATACCCAACATTTCAGAATGCAACAGCTTCGGCTTTTGGTTTTTACTAACTTTCATTTTCATTATTATTATTATTTTTTGGAATTATTTGTTCCTTATGTGCTTAATTTGCCTTCGCTGTGAATGTTGTGTTGTGATTTTCCTCTGACCTGTGAAAGTTGATAAGACCGCTTCATTCGGTAAGTTTTTTTTTTACCCATGCTGCACCATTTTACCAGAAAAACATTCACTACCATTAAACAAATACCTTTCCAATATATTTTACAATATACACCACTCACCCTTCTATATGTTGTTATATATGCTAAGTCATAACATTAACTTTGTATATGCTCCATAATGTGTTTGATTTTAATTGACTGTGCTAATGCTAATTACCCAGATTGTAATTTGAAAAATCACCATGATACCTTTATGTTCTTGTCTTGGCAGTGAACCTGTACCATACACTTGATTGATCTCACCGACTCACCCCCACCTCCTCTCCACGCCTCACTGGTTGTGAGACAAAAGACAAATCGGTTTAGAATCGGAGCGTGAACTGTTTGTCAAGATGCCGCAGGGAACGGAGGTGTCAGTGATGAATGTGCGTGACGTACCGGGGGACTGTCAGCACTTTTCCTCCTGGGTGAGGTGAACACCGAGAGTCCCCCGTGTAAATCCTCACCCCTTCACTCTCATCCGTCCCCCGTGTCACACAAACAGTCGTCCTGACGCTTTAGTCAACAAATCACTTACGTTTTACATGTACTTGTACTACCTCATAGTATTTTACATGTACTTTCTCCAGTTTTTATATAGGGCTTCTGATTCTTTTTGTCATTCCTGATACTATAGTAGAAAGAGTAATGATACAACAGCAGAAAGAAACTTCCAGAAACTCTTTGGAAACTCTTTAGGCTTCAGAACAGAGACGTTCTCTGTGCGTTATACCAGTGTTTCCCAACCTTTTTTAAGCCACGGCACATATACTGTATATCCTCAGGAAAAACCCCACGGCACACCACCATACAAAAATCTCACAAAAAGTATATATAATGAATTATAATAATATTCTTCTTTGAATTGACTAAAAATATACTCCTGTTGAGTTAAAGAAAACGCTGATATTGTCATGTGCGAGCATCGCAGGGAGCAGGCAGGAGATAGATAGATAGATAGATAGATAGATAGATAGATAGATAGATAGATAGATAGATATCAAACTGTAATGTAATGAAACTAACTCAACTCACCCACAGTCAGGTTTAGCCTGTTAAAGAACAAGTTACATGTCCCTATCCCTCTGCTGGTGCTTTCTTGCCCAAACCAGTAGGTGCCACTGTCGGACACCGTTAGATTTGTAATTGTGATGGTAATGTTTCCTTTTTTTATCTTCATGGAAAACCTGCTCCTTGGTCTGCACTTTTGACTTAGCACAACTTCACACGCTGATGACTCGTCTCCTCTGCAGATGAAAATGGGATCCCTAGAATCTTTGGGGATTTTACACCAGTCGCTGAAATTTTGTCCAGCCCTCGATGTTGTGTACCTAGTTGGACCTAACGAAAATAACACAGACAGAGATGACATCAGTTGAATGAGGATTAAATTTGACTAATTGCTATTGAAATCATTGCAATCATTTATTAATGACAAAAAAACCCCATTACGTTCTTTTTCTTTTTCTTCTTCTTATTATTACCATAATTTCCAGTCTATAAGCCGCTAGGTTTTTCACATGCTTTGAACCCTGCAGCTTAAACAATGATGCGGCTAGTTTATAGATTTTTACAGGCTAACAAAGTTCATATGGCTAGCGACCAATGACTTTTCTGGTAGGCTACTCTGTGTTATACTAGTAGCGTATGTCTGTCTGTGAACGGCTGTGTGCACATGCGCTCGTGCGCAAGAGAACGGTAGCGTAAGCTAAGAGCAGTTTGAGCCCTGTCATGTTGAAGCTGTTAAAACTCTGTTTATGTTCTGTTGTGGTCAGTGTGGCTGAACCCAACTTCCCTGTTTCTGTTTACCTCTGCTGTGGACAAGCACAAAGTGAAGGGAGTTAGCCCCAGAGCTAATGTTAGCTTTGGCCCTGAAGTCTCCCCTGTACTTGTGGATATTCACAGTCATCCAGGTCATCATAATAATCTCAAAAGCAGTTTTAAAAAGTTGGCAAAAGGAAGCCATCCATGTCAAATCTCTGAACAGAGGAGGGGGCCTCAGACACCACATACCATAATACCTGGTAAATACCTGGAAACTCTCCACCAGGACAGTAGAACTGATGAAGCCTCTTGGATGAGAGGCGAAACGTCTTCAATTTACTTGAGGTGAGTCCAGTTGCCAACTTTTTAAAACTGCTTTTGAGATTAAGTCTAACCAGCCCTGTTACATGCACTGTTCTTGGAAAAAAAAACCCAAACATTTATTTAATTAAAAGTGGAAAAATAAATCTTTCTGTGTAACATCTTTATAGAGCAGTCAAATGTATCAGTGCTTTAAGGGACTTTAATGCAGGCAATTGCAACAACTCACTCTGAACTTTATGGCTCTCAGCCAGCTTCGCTAGCTCCTTTTGTTTCTCCTCATCTCTCTCCACTCCGTCACATACACACTCACACTCTCACCACGCCTTTACTTCCCCTCCCATACCCCTAAACTGTGAACCCTTGCATAACACATGAGCAAAACATTTGGACTACAACATTATAATCAGAGTACTAAAAATACATCAAATGTTTAATCCCTTATCGTTACCTTGCCTACCCCTCCATCCCCCCCAACTGCCAGTGGACTGTTTCATTGCACTGCGCCTGTGCAGACAGGGTACAGGAATATGGTAGACAAACTGTCATGTGCGAGCATCGCAGGGAGCAGGCAGGACCCAAATGCAGTACTGGAGAGACTCTTTCTGGTGCAGGAAGTTTTATTAACAAAGTCCAAATTAACAAAACACGAAGAACTAACATGCATGGAATTCTCGAGGAACACGAGGAAACACAGAGTAGGAAACTCAGGAACACGAAGATCTAACACAGTCACAATCACAATGATCCAACACCGACAGAGTGAGGGAGAGGGGTATATATACACAGGGAACACCAGGTGACACAAGTGAAGCTAATTACCAAACAGGTGAGTGTGATCCCATGATTACCCCACAAAGAACACAGGAAAACACGGAAACAGACAGACATGACAGATATACTGTACTGACAGGAATTGAAGAAAGACACTCATAAAGATCTTCAACAGCTCTGATTATCTTTTCTTGGTTTTAATAACCATCTGCTGCCACCTAGTAGAAAATGATTTCATTGCTCCCGCAGCACACCAAATGATCTCTGACGGCACACTAGTGTGCCACGGCACAGTGGTTGGGAATCACTGATTTAGATAAATGAATAAATAAGAAAATGTATTCTGTTTGTAGTAAGCTGCACATTTCTGTTTTTTTACAACTTTACTATTAAAAAGAAATTTCATTCTCACCCATGCCGGCGATGATGCTGTGCACAGGAAGCCTAGAGGGGGTGTCATCGAGGCCAGTGACGGGCAGACCTTTGCAGTGCTTCTCCTCCTGTTTGAAGATAAAAGTGTTCTCCTCCTTGGTGATGTTGATGTAGTAGCAGGTGTCGGTGGCAGCCATGATGTGGCGAGGACCCGGGTTCAGGAGGATGCTCTTGTTGTCCTCCCTCTTCACGCCAATCAGACACACTCTGTATCTGTGACGATCTGCTGCCACCTAGCGAAAGAGGATTTAGTTGCTCTGCTTGTCACGCATTGATGAAGAAAAAATATTTGCAATTATTAAATGATTTGATGGTTTTTGGAGCAATTAAGTGACATTGGATAATTTTCCGCAGCACACCTACCGATCTCTCACGGCACACTAGTGTGCTACGGCACAGTGGTTGGGAATCACTGTGTTATACCACTCACTTGTGATATTTTCCTTGCTCTTGTTCCATTAGCTTTGTGAAGGGCTACCCTCCAAACTCACCCTACATAGGCAGCTCTCCCACACTCACACAGAAAGCTCCGTTCTGCTGCCTTCGCCTGGACAAGGTAAATTCACTGTGCAGCAGATTTGAGCTTTGAGTTTTACCCTGCTAGACATGGTAAAAGTGAGTGATGCTTTTTATGAGCTGATGAATCGTCTGCTTCCACTTAGGGATGCACACACAACAGCTTCGAAGATGCCAAGGCCTACGGCTTCAAGAACAAGCTGATCATAGTGTCGGCAGAGACGGCAGGCAATGGCCTCTACAACTTCATTGTCCCGCAGCGGGCCTACTACCGTCCCAGGAAGGAGCTCAATCCCATAGTTCTGCTGTTGGACTACCCGTACGTCTGTGACAGTTGTTTTCGCAGATTAAAATAATTGCAGTTTTTTTCCTAATATTACTAATAATCTGATTCTATCCACTATAATGTTAGAATGACATCAGGAATAAAGTCACAGTTATCACTATTTTCTCTGACCCTGATTTTGTACTTTGGTCATCAACCCATCTGGTGAAGCTACTGCTCATGTTCCACCATCTGGTCAGATCTGTTACTACAGTATAGTGGCAGGTTTCTGCTCTGTGCTGACAGGGACAGCAAGCTGGAGAGTCTGATTAAAAACACAAAACACAAAGCTAGAGTTTAGAGTTTCTTCAGTATAAAAAAATTATAAATATTAACCATAAACACATATTCTTATTTGTTTTCCCCAATGTGTTTTGTTTTCTCTTTCCTACTGTGGCTTTCATTTAACAGAGCTTAATTTCACCGACTCTACTTCGAGCCATGAGACCTCCCTGGAAAAATACAACAAGACCGTAATAAGTTTCACTCAGGTTTCAAGGAGGTAGCTACTGTGACTTGATTGTGTTTCCTCTGTCTCTACAGGCCAGACAACCATTTCTTAGAGGCCATTTGCTGTTTTCCAATGGTGTACTTCATGGCCGGCACTATTGATAAGTATGTGTTTACACATGAACCGATTACAAAAGAGCGGTAGGTGTTTGACTGTGCAGAATATAACAGAAAAAAGCACAAAAAGATGAATGTGTTGAAATATCTGTTGGCTACATGAAACGGGACGCTAACGAGATGTAGAAATCTACAAGCAGATTTCCTCTGCCTTTTTTTATCTTTTCAAATATCTGCCCTGCAGTCAGATTCTGTCTAGATGAATGAAGATTCATCTAGAGAGTAAATTAAGATTTTATTGAGCTCCTCAGATGATGATTTTTACTCTGCGACTCTGTGTGTTAACTGCATCAGTCTGGACAACCTGCTGCAGTGCGGCATCATCTACACTGACAATCTGGTGGTCGTGGACAAAGAGAGCACCACGAGCGCCAAAGAGGACTACATGGCGGATGCTAAAACCATCATCAACGTCCAGACCATGTTCAGGTAAAGGAGGTAGAGCAGAGTACACACACAACGCAATTTGTTTATTTGTTGCTCTGTGGGACTTTTTCCGATGTCTCAGACTTTTCCAAAGCTCTGCAGCGTCTCCTCCATTTAGGCCTTAGAATTGAAGTCATTCATCACTGCTGCAGCTGCTGTACCAGAGGTTACTATAGTAAACAAACCACCACATGTCACCAGCAGCTCCATTCCTTTTTCTCTGTATCTGCTCCTGCCCCTCAGATTATTCCCCAGCCTCAGCATCAGCACAGAGCTCACACATCCGTTCAACATGAGGTTTATGCAGTTCAGGGCCAAAGACTGCTACTCACTGGCTCTTTCCAAACTGGAGAAGGTTTGTGTTTTAACTGTGACGATGACTCTCTGGGTCTCATGTCTTAAATAATATTATAATAATATAAATAAATGTGATCCTCTAATCCAGTGGTTCTCAAACGTTTTATACTCTGTACCACCTGAGAAAACATTGAGCTCTCTGAGTACCACCATGATGACCAACATTAGAATATAGCAGCATGGGCCTTCCCTATTAGCTTCCACCACACTTGAGAGATGTTTATAAAGATGTTTATGTTTAAATGTTGTATTAATTGCGCATGATATGTTTCAGATTTAGTCAATTGAAAATGTAAATGTGAAAATATGAAATTTCCCCACATACCACTAGAGAGCGCTTGCGTACCACCGGTGGTACACGTACCACAGTTTGAGAACCACTGAATTAGAGCATTTGGTCGTTTTTTTGTCAAGTTTTTGAGAAAGTAAAAAATGCTGTTTTTTTCTGTTTTTGACACAAATTACAGGGTGGGCCACAAAGATTTACCCATCGTTTTTTCCGCACTATTCAAAAAGGCTTGCAGACAAACATAACAAACATTGAACACAGTTTCTATACTGTATTCTCAGCCACCAAAAAGATTTACATCTCAATATGGCCACCCTTTGCCTTTATCATAGCCTGGAGATGACCTGGCACTGCCTGGCATGAGCGCCATCTCTGCATCAGGTTTTGACCATGACTTCATCAAAGCTTTCTTCAAAGCGGTGACACTGCTGTGAGATACTCTTGAGACCTCCCTCTCCAGAATAGACCAAATCAAAAAGTCCATTGGATTGATGTCCAGACTTGATGGAGGCCACATGTTCTTGTCCCAGAAGCCAGGAAAGTGCTACTTGCACCAGGCCTGTGTGACATTGGATGTGTGAGTGGGTGCACCATCTTGTGTGAAGATATACTGGTTTCCAAACGCATTGGTACACCATGGCAACACTTTTTCTTCAAGCATTTGTAGGTAGACCTGGCTGTTCACTTTCACACCCTCCTGAATGAAGACCAAAGGAGACTTTGAGCCATCAGACGCAATCACAGCCCACAACATGACTCCAGCTGGTTTCTGATGACAGAAATTAGTTCTGCAGCCTTCAAGGATGTGCATATACCTTGTCATTCTTGGAATTGACCACTGCCTGAACGGTGAAGATCTTCTCATCAGACCAAACCAGGACTTTGCTTGCGGCACTCTGGATCTCCTGCAGCATCATTTGCCCCCTGTCAAGCCATTTTTATTTTGAAGCAGCTGAAATCAGTTGTCTGTGTTGCATTTTTAATGCTTTCAGTTTGAGATCCTGTTTGACAATTCTTCTCAGTGAAGGTTTTGAGATGTTCACTTCTTTTGCTGTTGCCCTCACGCTCCTGCAAGGATTCCTTTGGACTCTCTTCCTCACCATCTCAACAACCCTTTTGGTCCGGACTGAACGTTTTCTTCCAGGGATTGGCTTGCTGGTGGTCTTGCCAGTCTCCTTGTATCGTTTCATGACATTGTAGACAGTCTTACGACAAATATTCACCTTTTTCATGATTTGCTTTGTTGTGTGTCCAGCCTCCTTCAAGGCCACAGTCTGGTCGTACTTACCCTTCGATGTCATACTCGACACTCATTTGGAGTAAACAAATGAAATCGGGTAGATCAAAAGTTATGCATTTTGAGAGAAACTATCCAAAATTGTAGGCTTCTAGGACAAAAGCTAAGTGAACACGATAGAGATATACAATGGGTAAATCTTTCTGGCCCAATCTGTATACACGTTTACATTTTGTTGCATTTTTAGGCGGTTTTGGTCATTTTTTGAGAAAGTAAGTAAGTTCTACAGAGCCCCTAAAGGGACATGGGGAAAAAAAAAAGAAACGTATCTCGTGAGCACGAGAAACCTTAGGTTAAGCACAGGCAGGTGTGCTTCCTGTGCGTAGTGTATGCCCCTAGGCTCTTGAATTTCTTTTATGACGTATAATCCATTATTATATATTTTGTGATAAGTTTCATGTTATTTCGTAATGCCACGTAATTACGTGATAACTTTCACATTACAATTCTACTTTCGCTTCCTCAGTACATAGCAGATTTTTTTTATCCAATCTCGCAACATTAAAAATGTTTTAATTTCCAATATTTTCATTACTGAACTGAGGAAGCGAAAGTAGAATTGTAATGTGAAAGTTATCACGTAATTACGTGGCATTACGAAATAACATGAAACTTATCACAAAATATATAATAATGGATTATACGTCATAAAAGAAATTCAAGAGCCTAGGGGCATACACTACGCACAGGAAGCACAACTGCCTGTGCTTAACCTAAGGTTTCTCGTGCTCACGAGATACGTTTCATTTTTCTTTTCCCATGTCCCTTTAGGGGCTCCGTAAAGTTCCAAAAGTTTTCATCATAATTTTTTTCGACCAACGTGACATGCAAAAATATGATTTAACACAAACAAATGCTCTAATTTGATGAATATTTTTTGGTACCGCGTACCACAGTTTGAGAACCACTGTGTTATGTCATAGAACTAACTGATATTTTTATCTATAACACAATTTAGACAATCTTGACAATGTCAAACATTGTAACAAAAAGTTACAAAAAGCAACAAAAAGCAATATGTTTTTTCGTAACATCAATAGAAGAGTTCACTGGAGAGTTCACAGAGATCATTAGGTGTACCTTAAAAAATTATCCAATCTCCCAAAACTAGTATTTATTGCAAATTATTTTTCTTTGTTTCTCAAAGAGCCATGAAATCATCTTCCAGCAGATGGCAGCAGATGGTTATTGAAACTAAAAATATTATCAGAGCTGTTGAAGAAGATCTTTGTGTCTTTCTTCAATTCCCGCCAGTATATTAGCATTGTCTTCAACTAAACAGGAGTAATTTTTTTACTAAATTTAAACTAGAATATTATTATATTTAGTTCACCGCTCATGTTCTCTATGTTTCTCCAAAATCAATGTTTTCCAGATAGAACGTGATAAGGGCTCCAACCTGGCCTTCATGTTCCGGCTGCCGTTCTCTGCAGGCAGGGTTTTCAGTATCAGCATGTTGGATACACTGCTTTACCAGGTGGGACATACTCTACACCTGAAGGTTGAATTAGTGGCTAAGATGGGTTGGGTCTGATCACATGTAAATGATGTGGGTGATGTTTTATTTTTTTCAAAGATGAAGTCTCTTTTCCTTCTGTTTTATTTCAGTCCTTCGTCAAAGACTATATGATTGCTATCACAAGGCTTCTCCTGGGCCTGGACACCACACCTGGCTCTGGATACCTCTGTGTTGTAAGTCCAATATACAGTGGCTTGAAAAAGTATTCATACCCCTTGAACTTTCCCACATTTTCTCACCTTCCGACCACAAACATAAATATATTTTATTGGCATTTTAGATAAAAGATCAACATAAAGCGACACACAATTGTGAAGTAGAAGGAAAATTATACATGACTTTAAATTGTTTTTAGAAATAAAAAACTGAAAAATGTGGCGTGCAAAAGTATTCAGCCCCCTTTGTCAATACTTGGTGGAACCACCTTTCGCTGCAATTACAGCTGCAAGTCTTTTGGGGTATGTCTCTACCAGCTTTGCACATCTAGAGACTGGAATTTTTGCCCATTCTTCTTTGCAGAACAGCTCAAGTTTAGCAAGATTAGATGGAGAGCGTTTGTGAACAGCAATTTTCAGATCTTGCCACAGATTCTCAATAGGATTTAGGTCTGGACTTTGACTGGGCCATTCTAACACAGGAATATGTTTTGTTTTAAACCATTCCATTGTAGCTCTGGCTTTATGTTTAGGGTCGTTGTCCTGCTGGAAGGTGAACCTCCGCCCCATTCTCAAGTCTTTTGCAGATTCCAGCAGGTTGTCTTCCAGGATTGTCCTGTATTTGGCTCCATCCATCCTCCCATCAACTCTGACCAGCTTCCCTGTCCCTGCTGAAGAAAAGCAGCCCCACAACATGATGCAGCCACCACCATGTTTGACAGTGGGGATGGTGTGTTGAGAGTGATGTGCAGTGTTAGTTTTCCTCCACACCTAACGTTTTGAATTTAGACCAAAAAGTTCCACCTTGGTCTCATCTGACCAGAGCACCTTCTTCCACACATTTGCTGTGTCCCCCACATGGCTTCTGGCAAACTGCAAACGAGACTTCTTATGGCTTTCTTTCAACAATGGCTTTCTTCTTGCCACTCTTCCATAAAAGCCAGATTTGTGCAGTGCGCGGCTAATTGTCGTCCTATGGACAGACTCCCCCACCTGAGCTGTGGATCTCTGCAGCTCCTCCAGAGTTACCGTGGGTGTCTTGGCTATGTCTCTGATCAGTGCTCTCCTTGTTCTGCATGTAAGTTTTGGTGGACGGCCATGTCTTGGTAGGTTTGCAGTTGTGCCATACTCTTTCCATTTCTTGATGATGGATTGAACAGTGCTTCGTGAGATGTTCAAAGCTTGGGAAATCTTTTTATAACCTAACCCTGCTTTAAACTTCTCCACAACTTTATCCCTGACCTGTTTGGTGTGTTCCTTTGACTTCATGATGCTGTTCACTGACCAGTGTCCTCTTAGCAAACGTCTGAGGCTGTCACAGAACAGGTGTATTTATACTAAGGTTAGATTACACACAGGTGGACTCTATTTAATCAGTAGGTCAACAGCTGATCATTCAGCAATCATCAGGCAACCTCTGAAGGCAACTGGTTGCACTCAGAGAAAAGGGGGCTGAATACTTTTGCACGCCACATTTTTCAGTTTTTTATTTCTAAAAACAATTTAAAGTCATGTATAATTTTCCTTCTACTTCACAATTGTGTGTCGCTTTATGTTGATCTTTTATCTAAAATGCCAATAAAATATATTTATGTTTGTGGTCGGAACGTGAGAAAATGTGGGAAAGTTCAAGGGGTATGAATACTTTTTCAAGCCACTGTATATTTATAATTGTCTTTTAGATGAAGATCACGGAGAAGGATCTGTGGATCAGGACGTACTCTTCCAGAAATTGTGTTCATCCAGTGCTGAGATTCCAATCTGGATTTACCGCACAGAGTCTCACATGTTCTCGTCCTCAGAGGCAAGTTCAAGCACTTCGAGGAGACCGTGGGTTTGGGTTTTGCTGCAGCTTCCTCTGCACTGACTCTGAGGTCCTTTCATTTGTTGGTCAAAAGTTCTTCATCTCTCAATGTTTTCATTTTTTTTCTTCTTTTATTGTCGCTTTTTCTTTATTAATTTCTTCCAAATAGCAATTGTTTTGAAATTTTCTAGAAAGTGTGCACCAACCTTGGGCCTTGGCCCACAGATATACCTATGTTACATACAGTTTCAAAAAGTATTAATAAGTAAAATGAGATATTGAAAAGCTTTTGTTTTCTTTGAATGCTGTTATTTTAATTTTTCTGTTTTTTTTTGTGCAAAGACAAAAATACTCGAGTAATTAATAAAGGTATTTTTTACTTAATTTAACTTGATTTCAAAACAAGGTTTCCTGAAGTCACGACTCATCACATCACAGACACTCACACATGAAGACGCTGTTTTTCTAATTAGCTCGTCGTTTTGCAGTCTCAGGTGTCCATTAACATGGAGCCAGGCAGAGAGCAGGGAGAGAACTGGAAGGAGAAGATGGGCCACAAGAACTCCACCGCCAGTGTCCAATCAGAACACTGAGGAAGAAGAGCATGCAGTGGGCGTGCCGCCTGAGCAGAAAAAAATGTGAAGCAGCCCAGTCGAGCCGAACACATCTCGCAGCAGAGGCTCAACCTGTACAGGCGCTCCAAACGTCAGGAGCTGTCAGAGCTGGTCAAGAACCGTATGAAGCACCTCGGTCTGCCCACTGTTGGATACGGTGAGTAGAGCAGCTGTTTGGAACATGAACGAGAACAACAAAAGCAGTACTGTAAGTGTCGTTAAATAAATCTTTTCACGATGCTTTAATGGGATTAAATGTCGTAGATGTAGAACTTTCCTGGTGTATTATTGTTTGTGCAAGTCATTACATTTGCATGACGTTTGAGTCTGAATATTCCCTGGTCCTCATGAAACATCACGTCGTCCAAACATCGTTGGCTGTCATTAGTGTCAGTGGGTGAAGACTGATCATGTTGTTCCAAGTATCAGTTCCAGGGCTGATGATCACCACATTCATCCACGAACTTTGTTCTGCTGTGCCTATGTTCATGTGCTGGCTCCTTCAGACAGTGTTGATGTTCCACGATGTCACATTACCACACAGGGGTCAGAGTTCATCAGTGTCGTTGTTCATTCTACATCAAGGGTATTCAAACTTTGTGACTCATGGGCCACAATTGTCCTAATATTAAACAGGGGGGCCAGGTCAGGAGCAGATAGATGGCTCGTTTGTGTGAACTAAGATAAATGACATGTAAAAGTCACACATAAAGGCTAAAATGCAAACATGCTTTTGTCCTTTCTATGCCATCTATTGGGGAAATGTAGGTAATGCAGGGAAAAGGCAGAAGTAAAATGATAATATAAATAAATTATATAATTTGGAAAAGTTTGGCGAGACGGATTAAAAGGCTGAACGGGCCGCATCCGGCCCCCGGGCCTTAGTTTGCCCATGCCAGGTCTACATCAAGGGTGTCAACCTAATTTTGGTTCACGGGCCGCACACCACATGTTTAGATGTCAAGTGGGCTGCACCAGTATAATCATAACCTTATTAAAGTCCATATTTTCCCCTTTGTTTTCATGCAGAGAAGTACAAGTAAATTAGATATTTAAAATTACATGAAGTCTTTTTTGTATTTTTGAAATTTATCAAGCAGGCCGGTTTTGGCCCAGGGGCCGTATGTTTGACACCCCTGGTCTGCATCGTCGGTCAATTAGGCTTTTTTCAAAATTAAAAGAACTCCACGTGTACTAAATAAATGACACGTTAAGCTCTGGTGGGCCACATTAAATGGCTTGGCGAGCCTTATTTTGCCCACAGGCCTTGAGTTTGACATGTGTGGCGTAGACCAGTGGTTTTTATCCTATTATTTTATACTTTTTATCCTACACTCCTACACCTGAGCTCTCTGAGTACCACCATGATGACCAACATTAGAATTCCCCCGCTCATTCCACGTCCAACTTGCAAGTGATTCCATGATTCCGTGCTGCCTGTGCTTACGTGAGCGACAGACTTGCGTTGCAGCAAAAAAAGTAGAAAAAAGTAAATAAATAAAAAGAACAGACATCCTATTTCATAATCTCACAAGTAGCTACACATTTTTGTCTATATGTTGTATTAATTGTGCATGGTATGTTTCAGATTTATTCAATTGAAAATGTAAATGTGAAACTATGAATATTCCCCGTGTGCCACTAGAGAGCGCTCACGTACCACCGGTGGTACGCGTACCACAGTTTGAGAACCACTGCTGCAGACAAAACATAAGCACGTTAAGCTCTGGTGGGCCACATAAAATGACTTGGCGAGTCTTAATTTGCCCACAGGCCTTCAGTTTGACACGTGTGGCGTAGATAAACTAAGAAAAAAACATTAGTGTGTTCAGAGCTAAGATTTGTCTTTAGGTGTTTTATTAATTATTAATTAATATTAATTTCACAGTAAGTCCTTCCTTTATGTCATTGCCGATCGACTTATTTAAAAAAAACTAAATACAAAAGTGGTGAAAACTTCTCAAACAAGTCATTTTAGGCTCCACTCATTGACTTTATTTTCCGTCTGAATTATTTTGGACATTTAGTCTCACATCACTGTCTGTTAGGACTGTTTCTGTGCTCCTCCTCCTCATCATCATCATCCAAACCATAACCAGCATTTTTCCTCACCTCACTCTCACACACATCGAACGCCTCCACCACTTCCCATCGCAGCTACACTCCCAGGTCATCGTCACGCCGACATCTGGACGCAAAACAACTTCATTTCTGCTCTTCATCAAACTGCCGTTTCCCTGCATTGGTGCCACAGCTGCTTATTTGTCTGTTTTGTTTTTGCTCCACCCACCATCATGCTTTTATTTATTTTTATTTTTTATTTTTTTAAGTCAAATGCAGAATCATGCTCCATGTGTGTTCCACTTGAAACGTGTCGATTAAATACTTTTCAGGAAGAGCCCGGAGAGCTCAAGACCTCCTCGAGAACCATCTGAGTGAGGACTGTTGCAACATTGTGACAGACTCAAATCATTTGGAAGTGATTCTGCTCACATTTTTCTTCTAACGCAGTGATTCCCAACCACTGTGCCGTGGCACACCAGTGTGCCGCGGGAGATCATTACGTGTCAAAATGTCCCAAAACTAGTATTTATTGCAAATAATTTTTCGTTTGTCAAAGAGCAATAAAATCCTCTTCCACTAGATGGCAGCAGATGGTTATTAAAAGTAAGACAAGATTATCAGAGCTGTTGAAGAAGATCTTTGTCTTTCTTCAATTCCTGCCAGTATTTATTAGCGTTGTCTTCAACTTAACAGGAGTACATTTTTTTGTAAATTTAAACTATAATATTATTATATATAATTACATATACTTTTTGTGAGATTTTTGTTCGGTGGTGTGCCGTAGGGTTTGCCTTGATGATATACTGTATATGTGCCGTGGCTCAGAAAAGGTTGGGAAACACTGCTCTAACGCATGGCTTCTTTGGCGTCACCTTTTCCCACAAAGTTCTGTTCTTAATCTGCTGAAGCATTTGCTGCCTGCCTGATTGTTTTTGTTCTTCTTCCTTTTCTTCCTCTCTCTCTTTTTTCTTCCTCCTGCCTCCCCCCGACTCTTCTTCCGTCTACCCCTGCTTTTGGTTTGTAGAGGATGTTTCAAATCTCACTGCAAGTGATGTTATGAATCGGGTAAATCTAGGATATTTGCAAGGTAACTTTTGTTTGTTTTTTGTTGTTTCTACCTTTTAAGTCCATTTACTGACATTCATTCACCTTGTGGCCAAATGTTGAATTGTCACGAGCCATGATGTCCCCCAAATACTGGAGATCCATTAAAGTACTCATGTATAGATGTTCGTCCTCCTCATACTCCTTATACTGTTTGTTTATAGAAAACTATTCATGTTGATCACAGTCGGAACGTCGTTAAACTAAACAGTGAATGCCGTTGCTTAGAGTTGCAGGAAATTTCAGAGCATCCATACACAGAGAGGACCAGACTGTCAGGTTAGCTGGTTGACCACAGTACTGCAACTTCAACTGCATGACTGTGTGTGTGTGTGTGTGTGTGTATACACTGTGTGAATGATACCGACATGTGTCTGTGTGTGTGTGCGACAGTCAACAGTACACCAGCTCTCTCTCTCTCTCTCTCTATCCGTTTATTTTCCTGCATTGTGATCCTCGACAGTGACAAACACTTAATTTACAGCAGGGCGTTCTAGTCTGGCTTTGAAGAGTGGAGCCGAACATGTTACGTCCGTGGGTGGAAGATGAGATTAATTAATAATCTATTCCTCTAAAAAATAATTAATTACATTCTTTTAGCCCTGATTGGCCTCCATGTCTGTGAAAACACGTCATTATTATTTCTACTATCCAGAGGTGTGGACTCGAGTCACACGGCTTGGACTCCAGTCTGACTCAAGTCATCAATTTGATGACTTGACTCGACTTGACAAAATGTAAAGAGTCTTGAAACTCGACTTGGACTTTAACATCAATGACTCGTGACTTCACTTGTACTTGAGCCCTTTGACTCGACAAGACTTGATACTTTCTCCAAAACCCAAAGACTATAAAGTATGTTATTAAGGAGCACTCTGTATCTCTCATCGTATAAGTGTGTACGTCTGTGTGTGTATGTACTGTCGGCACAACATCCAATCAAATTAGACCCACGTTGTTTTGACGCGATAGCATCGAGCCAATCAAATTGCGTGACGACCAATGAGGAAGAGCTGTCAAACAACGCATCAACAACGGTGAAAAAAAATGATATCAAAGATCGTGCTGTTCGGATTTAAAAAACGCACAAGGTCAACAAAAAACGAGTGGCAGTGATTTGTGTAAATATAGTATTATTTTGTTTAAAAGGACTCAAAACAGAAACGGCACGACTTGGGACTTGACACTTTTCAGTCTTGACTTGGACTCGACGAGGACTTTGCCTGTCTTGACTTGAGACTTGACTCGGACTTGCAAAGCAATGACTTAGTCCCACCTCTACTACTATCATAATATTAATGTTACTGACCTGGATTAATATCCACTGATGCGAATGCACAGCTAATCATTTGGTTATTGTTGTCGCTTACTTCCTACCTCAAGATCTAAGGTCATTCTCCCAGACTACAACGAAGGCTAGGATTTTAAGACTTGACTTTTGGAATGCTCAAAATCCCAAAGTTCTGTCGGGTAATTCCAAACAATTCTGACAGATATCTCTATGTTTTGACACTGTTGGCCCAGCTCAGGCGGCCATGTTCCCTCAGTTTCTCCAGTCGTTTCTCACAGGGATTTTAACCTCCTCTTTCCTCCCATTTGAACAAAGGAAAATCCTCTCCCCGACCCCCTTTCACTGTGATGTCAGAGCAGCAGGTTCTCCTCCTTTCACTCTCGCACTCCCAACATGTTTTGCTTCACCGTGTTTGGTTTGAGTTGCCCTGCATTTGGTCCAGTCTGACAGATGCTAGAGCGTGTCCTCTGCGTTCGGGGGGGTTCCCGGTCCGTTGGCATGGCGGAATGCTGCCTTCAGGAAACACTGAAACACCCCCCCCAGACACACAAAGTGCTCTGTCAGTAATTGTCAGCCCTTCTCTCTCTTGCACCCCGCCTGGCTTTTTAAAGGGCCGCTCGAAGGTGGGTCGTTTCGTCCTCTGTCCATCAGGCTTCACAAAGTTGGGGATCACTGTAGAGCAGTCACTCAAACACACACACACACACACACACACACACACACTGAAGACACACACACGAAGGACACACACACACATGCTAATGAATGTTTCAATCAGAGAGGTTTGTCCATGTTACAAAAATTAAAAATGGACTTAAATGTTGTTTGTCAGAGGAAAGGTGTTGCCTCTATCAGGGCCATACAGTGCAACAGTGGTTAGTGTCCTTGCCTTACAGCAGTGGTTCCCAAATATCTTCTGCAGCCACACTGTAGACATGACCACCACCATCTCTACGTCTACACATTGATCGAGATTCCTTCAAACGCCACATGCTTAACAAATAATAACAAAGAATCATAACACTGTACCTACTCCTTCACGAGAATATGGAAAATATTTGTAAACATTTATATATTTGATATATGTATATGTATGTATGTATATATGTATGTATATACAGTACATATATATACAGAATATTTGAAAATGTGTTTGAGTACTGCGCCCCGCACTTTGGGAACCACTGTCTTTCTTTGTGTGAAGTTTATGTTCTTGTTCATGTTCTTCCTCTGTGTATGTGAGTGTGTGGGGGCGGGGATGATGGGGGGCAGTTACAATACAGAATAGATAAGTATGAATGAGGTCACAAAAGTCTTAGTTTGAACTGTACTTTATTTAAAACAGCGGTTTCCAAAGTGGGGTGTGTGCCCTCACTTGGGGACATGGTGGTATTAAATAAATACATTTCTATTTTTGTTTTGCTGAGGATTGCATTGATTTAATTTTTTGGAAATTAGTTTTTTTTATTTTATTCGGTGAATATCCTTCCAATAAAAGGGGGCGCTGCAGAAAAGGTCTGGGAATTTAAAATGACAAACCCTAGTAGTCTAAAAAAAAACAAGGTCTAGTTAAGACGGTTATGGTGAGAGTTTCTTTCTTTCCCAGCCGTCCGCACTGGTGGTCAGAGGCTCAGTGGGCTCGTCTCCTGCTGACGGACCTCACAGTGATGGAGGCCGAGGTGAGAAAGACACTGAAGGTGTTTACTGTCTTTTTTTTTATAGATGAGATGAACGACCATCAGAACACGCTGTCCTACGTCCTCATCAATCCGCCGCCTGACACCAGGCTGGAGCTCAACGAAATTGTGTAAGACTCACAGTAGATCCCGCAGACATCAGTGGACAGAAGCTGTCTGTCAATTTGACACTTTCATTGAACTTCTTACTTAAAGTGCTGCTCTACAGTGTCAGCATGAGGATGGAGGGGTGGAGTCAACATTCTCTAGTAGATTTATCATTTGACTCTTTAAAACAATGGGGAAAAAAATATTTTAGATTTATTTAAGATTATATGGCAGGTGTGATTTTCTTTTTTTATTAGTCTGAAAATGCATTGTTATAGAAACTTGATGAATTCTTTTACAACATTTTTCCCCGAGCTTCTCTTTATTCCCAACTCTTCTCCGCAGCTACATCATCCGGCCTGACCCGCTGGCACATATGCCGGAGGATGCACAGGTGGCAATGCAGACGTGTGGAACCAAAAACCAGCAGGAGTTCGGCACAGAGACGAGGGACGAGACTCACCTCTGAACTTTCTTCTTCTTAGCTGTCACTCAAAGCCCACGGTCGAAGGCTGGTCAGCTCGGCCATCCATCCACCAATGAATGTGTATCCGAGCGGAACAAGTGGATATTTGAAGAGGTGCAGTTACCGCAGAGATGCTGTAGGGGGATGCATGAAGAGTGCCTCGTCACTGACTCCCTCACTCTCCCTCCACCCACTCTGTACAATCACACACTTCCCTTGTGTCCATCCAGATGAAACCAGAAAAGGGGCGGAGTCGTTGTCCACTGAACCAAAGGTCCGACAGTCTGTGGTCATTTTTTTTTTTTTTTTTGCAATTCTCAAACATCAGTTGTAAGGATTCACTCCGAAAATGTTGCTCAGGAGTGATGAGTTTACATGGTGAGAGGGAGTGTTTTGAACCACGTGACCCTGATGACAAATCCATGTCGGTCCCGGTCTTCAGCTCACTTTGAGCTGGTCCAAACCTGGTCTGGAGAGACGGTGAAAAATCAAACATGAAGAAGTTACCATATTTTCCACACTATAAGGCGCACTTAAAAGCCTTTAATTTTCTCAAAAATTGACAGTGCGCCTTATAACCCGTTGCGCCTTATGTATTACTTCTGGTCTGGTTGTGCTTACTGAGCTTGAACCGATTTTACAAAGCCAAACTACACAGCACATCACACATGATGGCACACAACTGAAGCACACTGGGAGCACACAATGACGTTTAACTCTGTTATCACAATTAGAAGATGCTCAACAACAATTGTTACAGTATGGTCGTGTAACCCAAATCCGTGCAACATCGCGTCATGCCTCCCAACACCCAGACACTGTACACTGTGTTTTTGTATTGTCGATGTATGTTGCGATGCAGGACGACTCAGACGCATGACTGATTTTTTAGTGGCATGGCTGTCGATTTTTTTGTGGTCAAAAACTCTTTTTATTTCTCCTTTTTTTACAGGCAAATCACGCACTCTCTCTGCAAAACAACATCCGCAGCACGGAACAACGTCTAAACAACAATACGGTGACCATCCAAAAAAAAAATAGTGACAACCGCCTGACTCTGGAGGTTGTCACTCCGCCTGACCTCCAGAGTCAGGCGGTTGTCACTATTTTTGTTCTGGATGGTCACACAACAACAGTGTCCTCCAGTGTCCAACCTAGGTCACTACCCTTTTCCACAAATCTAAGTCCCTATTGATCTGCGACGATCGCTGACTGTTTTGTTTCGCTTAATGCGCCTTATAACCCAGTGCGCCTTATGTATGGAAATAGACCCGTTCATTGATATTTCGCCTTATAATGCGGTGCGCCTTATGGTCCAAAAAATATGGTAATTTTTTTCAGTTGTAGCATCACGTTTTAAAACAGCTAATTTTTTATTATTATCAGTTAAGTAATTTTACAATTTTATCACTGGCATATAACTGTGTGTTTACCTCTGTAGCTGCAGCAAATGATTTTTAAAAATGTTTTAATCAATTTTTATTTTAGTTTTTGCACCTGCACAAACATTTTACTGACACGTGTGCATTCAGACTGTGACGGAAGGATCTGTGTTTATTTGTGTTTTGTAAACATTTCTTGTTATAATTTTTTTATGACTAAGTGTTATTTAAAGAGTCAAAGCTGTATGTGCCATTGTATCCACAGCATCTTTATAATGTTTAATAATATTATTTATTGAAGGAAAAAAAGAGTTGACATTTGGAGCCTGACTGACAAATCTTTGAAACTAAAACCTGAACCTAGACCACATTTCTGCCACATTCCAGACAAAGATACTAAATATGAATCTATTATTTTTAAAAACATATTGATCCAGGGTCCAGAAAGGATTTTTCATAGTATTACACAAAGTTATCAAATACTTTATAATCCACATACAGTATTTAGTATTATTATTGTTTGAATACAGATGTTTTATAGATGTGGTTGGAACTCTGACTGGTGGTTGAGCGTATAGTGCTGTTGCCTTACAGCAGTGCTTCTCAAATAGTGGTGTATGGCCCGCTGGACATACAGTGGTATGAAAAAGTTTG